ACCCGTCAACCACACACTTCTTAACATGAACTTACGAATCGAATCGGGATGTGAATGTCAAAAGAAGTAACAAGAAACACACCTGAGCTCATACAGAGTAATATTTCTGATACAGCTGTTTAAACAACTTATTCAATTATTCGATCAAGGAAAGCATTTCTCACAGTATGTACCAGAAACTAGATTTTCAAAGTAGCTGTATGCCAAATTTATCTGTTCCATTTGAAAGGCCTATATCCACTGAGCATTTTGGTACCATTCTTTAACCTCTCAGTCAATTTTTAAGAAATTGGTAGTTGTTTAAAATTTGACTAAATTTGTTAAAGTCAGTCACTGGCTGCAACCCCATGTTTGACAGACAATAAAAAGAGTACCAAGAGCACTAAACATCTCCACAGTAACAGAGTACAATCACTATAACAAATATATGGAGCCTAATTTTTTTCAAGACTGAGATCATTACAAACTCAGTATTTTATTGACTCAAACACATTGATCTGTCGTTATTTCAACAACAAAAACGAGCGTTGACCCCGCTGGCGCCGCAGCGGGCGAGTCGGCTGTATACTGTAGTGTACCCCGCGTGCTGTGTCACATGCTTTCTGAGTCTTGCGGAAGGATTGATGAAATAATTCCAAGCTGATTACTTTATTCTAATAGGAAATGAGCTGATCTTTTAATTGACAATTTTTTAAGCCGGTATATTACATATTTTGTGTAAAAAGTGATCTCTAAACATTTTGACAGTATTTTTAAAAGCTTTCTATTTAGACGTCAAAGGCCAAATATATACCACGGGAAAGCCCGTTTAAAGCTCTAAAGTTCTCTCCAATGAAAAGACGGTATTTAATCATCCCGTGTTCCGCGAAGCATTTGAATGCACGCGAGTAAATTTTTCAACCGGTCGACCACGCATTCCAACCGCGAGGGGCTTTGCTTTTGTTGGCGATTCTCCAGCTCCTAATAATCGGACATAAAAACTACTTACACCATTGTAACGAGGAAAAGCTGAACTTTTACAAGGTGTACGGCATTTGGTGTTTAAGAGCGAAAGAGCAAAGAAACAGCGATCGGAATTACCCCGATTTCACCGATACCACGCAGTCGGAAGGCCGCGAGGCCGTGTTTATGCTACCTACTTATAGTTTTGAGTGGACCAGAAACACATTGTTAGAATAAAGGCGGAGCTTCACAAAGGTGACAAAGGCAGACATTAACAAATGAGGGATTGTGATTCTAAATGCAGTACACTCACATGTATAAAATTTACACCATTTAGGGTTCTGAAGCACGTTGGGAAAAATAGCACAAAGCTCATCACTTAAAACATATCAACCCCCCCAAAAAAACAAACAAACAAAACCATGGTCCCCCATCCCCTGTGTCTGTAGAAGCAGCAGACGATACCTGTTTCCTGAACGCCACAGCAGCACCAACAGGAGGAATCTGAGCAGTGGGCATGGGGGGGAATGGGGCAGGCTTGGGTTCAGCGGGAAGAGGCGCCTCCCCGCGCAGCTGCCGCTCCAGTTCAGCGGCGGTCAGCACCTGAGGCTTCTGGTGCTCTCGGGCTAGCATGCTGTGCTCAATCTCTGCCAAAGTGGGGACCTCCGGGGGCAAAGGCATTGACGGTGCTGGGATGGGCGTGGACCTCGCATCTTGAAACACCTAAGGGCACCATGGAAAGAAAGGGCAAAAAAGTGTTAACTCTTTACGATGTTTATTGTTTGTTTAATGTTAGTCTGGATGAGATAGAGAAACGCAGTAATAATGGCCACCAAGAATAGGAAAAAGGCAGAGACAGAAAGAAACATGGTTTATTTGATCAAAATGAAAAGTGGTCAAAATGCATAGTTACATGGACTGTTAGATTAGAGTATGCAGGTTTAAAATTAGGTTCCATGGTGCAATCAAACCTACCTGTCTACCCCCCCCCTCCAATGAAAGCTACCTTTAACACACAAAAAAACCCAAAAAAGACAACTCCCTCAACTCGCATTAAATAGCTACATGTGTACCAGTCCTGATAAGAATTATGTCCCGTGACATACTGGCTCGAGTGGCCATTGTTTGAGGGAGGGGGTCTGGACAAAGAGAACTACCCTAAAAATATAAGACATAAACCAGCAAAGAATCTTTTGACACATATAAAAAACTTCAGTCTTCTTTCAGACCACTGGAGCTTCCTTCCGAGTGGTGATATTGACACAACATTCAATGCTTTGTCTCACCCCTGGGAAATCCCTGAGGGCAGCTTGCTTAGCGGAGGCAAAGAGGGCCTGGAGGGTGTTGTTCACCGGCTTCTGGAATGGGTTGTCCGCAGAAGGTGAGCCCCAGATATTCTTCCCTGCTGATGATGCCTGGAGAGAAAAAAAAAATCACAGACAATCAAACAAATGGAGGTTTAAGGCATGGATTAAGCATACTTTCCCCTTCATGCTGCTCCTCCTTACAAGCACTAGATTTGATGTTTTCTACAAGATGCCTTACTTCTTACACTGGTACATACAACTTGGGATATAAGAAAATGGAGCAACCTTAATGGTAAATATCATCATAGAGAGCTGTGAGACATTCATGTCCTGCTGTCAAGTTGTCCTCTTGTGAACCTCATTATTTATGGTCCCTGTTCTCTTGTACACAGAAAACCATGGGTGGTTGGCGGGTACTTTGGTGTGGCTTGCTCCGTCTTTTTGGCTAAACATCTACCGTCCTTAGGTCTCCTTCTTTTTTGTGTTTGTTACTCTCTTGTCACACTTCTAATCTTCGGCATTTATACGACCTAATTGTGTTGCAAGTCCTGTAAAACATTTCCTAAAACTGACCCCCCCCCCCCTAAGAAAACCATGCACATCAAACATGCATGTGCTCATGCTATTACTATGCTGATTACTTTGAGGTGCGTGCATGTATGTGTGTGTGTCTGTATTTGAGCTTCTGATAATAATCGAAACTTCTGAATTTGCTACTCTTTCTTTTATTCAAACATCTTGAGCATTTTAACTCTCAAAAGTTCTTGGGTTTTGGCTCGTTTTTTAAGGTAAAGAGGTTGGACGTAGAAGAAAAAATCCTACAAATTCCTGTGAAGGTCAACACAATAAGTGTTGTATATCAATAGAAAGGTTATGGAAGGGACTGATATGATACAAGAATTATTTGAGTATGATTTTTCATTTGCAGATGTGACCTACTTACTTGGTGTTTAAAAATAGAAGAAAAAAAAAAGATTTTTTCCCCTCCTCTTTACATAGGCAAAGAAAGAAAAAACGATTCCAATTCTAGTTTTTATATTCAGGAACATTCAATTCTACAAAATATACAAAAAATTAAGAGTAATTTCAGGCCAATTAGTGGAGACGACAGCCATTTAGTACCATGACCTAGTTGCTCAAATTTGAAATACAAACAGTCTGATAGCATAAAAAACTATTATAAATTTGTGAAGGCTCTTATGACTGAGGTACTTTACCTAAAAGTAATGCATATTGGGTAGGTATTGATTTTAGACACAAATCAGAGATTTCACTCAACTTATTGTCATATTTGACCTACTTTTGAGATTTCTATACATAGAAATATAGATTATTTCACTAATATTGCTAGAGGAGCCTCTCTTTGGCTCTCAGACATCGCAATTCGAGCTGCATACATTTATCTGTCCTCTGGGTTCATAAATATAGCCTATATATAGATGAATTCTTTGTTCTAGCTTTTTTTTTATAATAGAGGGTTTTACGGTGCTCCCAACTGCATAAGGTCATATGAGCGCCAAGGGGTGGGTGTCAACATAGAAGCCTTTACAGGGAAGACTTAGACTGCTCACCTCTCTAGCTTCAACAGCACAAGGTCTGCTACGACTATCAAGGCACCCAGAAATAGCAGGTCACAAGAGAGTGACAAACATACAAATGAAGTAGACGGAAAATAGTAAGGATCAGGAAAGAAAAGGCAGCAGTAACCTGTTGTAGATCAGGCTGTTATGAGCGTGTCATGAGTCAGCCCATTTACAATTCTACTATGCTTGAACGAGAAATGTCCCCCCTTTGGGAATGGCCTAAAGACACTACAGTCAGCGGCACTGCCCTGGGGGGTAGTTCTTGCTTTGATCTTTGTATCAAAGAAAGTAATTCAAGATGGCGGACAGATGAGAATGATTTCGGTAAAATGCAACACCCATTTAAGTATGAAAAACTTATTTTTTTCCCAATTTTTTGGGGGGGTAATTCACCAGAATCAAGTCTACACTCTGTGTAGAAGCACCAAAATGGATAAATTAGACAAAAATATGAGATTTATAGCCTTCCAAAACCATTTAACATTTTTGTTCGATTTTTAAAGGAAAGAACTGTTAAAAGTTAAGAGGAATGATAGGTTATATAAGACTGGGGATGAAGCTCTTCCTCCTTGTTCTAGATGACAGCAGCTTGACAGTTAGTCCGATGTAGCGCACAAACAGTGCAGTCTACTTCATATCTGAGAGACTGCCAAAGAGCTTTCTTTCAAGAGGAGTCACATAAGGATGAAGTAAAAAGATACTATTTTCAGTTCTTGAGAACTCATTACATCATATACTTCAAAACTAATTATAGGCGTAAAATATTTAAATCAAATTGTACTTTATCCTTCCCGAACAGGATTGACCAAGGACAAATATTCAACTTTTGGTCCTCAGATGGCTTTTCCATGCATATTGAGCTCAAGGGCCAAATTTGGTTTGCCAACATCTGGGGTTCTTCTCACAGGCATACACACCATAGACACATTTCAGCCTCAGTAACAAATGTATTAACGGTAGTGAAAAAGCCAACATGCAACACACACCAAGCCCTCCAATTCCATGTATCCGGGCGGGGAGTTGGGGCCGAAGAGCTCATCGAGATGAGACTGTCTCTGGGCCTGTGAGAGGGAGGAAGACACGGTTAGCACAAACTGGCATTCCACTTGTTTCAGCAGAGAGGAGGAGGAAAAATTCGGGGAAAGTACTGCTATACATAACACAAGATTAATAGAGTGAAAGAAACACACAATACAATTTATGAAATGGTGCTCGTTATATTTTCTGCAAATAATGACAAAAGAATAACTAAGTTGTTAATAGAAACAGTGAAATAAGATACAAGTTAAATTTTCCTTTAATTTTAGAAAGAGAACATTTTTCCAGCATGCTACACTAATTTACAGGTGTCAATCGTACTTAAACAGGTTTTTTTTTAACCCTTAAAGGAAAACAATTATCTTTAAAAAAGAAAAGAAAACAAACGATGATCAGCTAGAATTAAATACGAATGGGTGCCCCCCACCATGCCTGAAAATGTGTCTCCTTGTTAGCCTTTACAGTAGCAAAGTTTTCACGCTTGCAACAAACGAGCTCCATGCAAAATCATCATCATCACACACACACACAAGCACACATGCATGTATGACCACTGAAAGCAACAAAGCTATGTCAGAAGAGCACACACTAGCACAACTTTCAAACGCGTTCACACAGTTTTAAGAAACCAGCTCAAGGAAAACTCAAACATGTCAAGTGCCAAAAAAAAAAAGCCAAAAAAAAAGCGGGAAGCACATGCAAACTACTCACCCCGGGGATGGGTTGTCCAAAGGCGGTAAACGCTTTGCTGTCATGGTCCTCCACAACTAGACGTCGTATAGAGCGCTCAAGCTCATCCTATTAAAAGTAAACAAAACAATCAGTTTTTAAAAAACGGGGGGGGGGGGGGTTTCATTTTAGAACTCTCACATCTCATGATACTTAAAAAAGGGAGTTCAATAACAACTAAGCAAAGATATCGCAGAAATGTGTATTAACTAACAATGGAAAAAGGAGAGCAAGAAAGAGTCTCAAAACATATACAACCTTTGCAAGCTTCTTGCTAGTTCTGCATTCACTATCACTATTAACAAAGTGTAGCGAGCATATGAGTTGGTACTTGTGACCTACTGAAGTTTCAAATTTTTCAGTTAATACCAGTATTACACAGGGTTCTGTTGCTTCAAATGAGCCTGTCTTTCCAAAACGGAGAACATGAAAAAACATTTGACTGGTCAGTAGAATTGAAGTGTACAACTTTTTCAGGTTATGGGTAAAAAGTAATTGCTGGACCATTGAAAGGCCATCTTGCTGATGCAAGGAAATTTTTTTGTGACTTTGTGGTGTTTTTCTTATCTCCTAAAGCAGGGCAAAAGGGAATTGTTTATTTTTCTTGTGACAGTGACCATAATATATAGATTCACATATACCTGTTACACATTCAAGCAGCAGAGCAAATCACTTGTACTTGTACATAAACGCACTTATTAACACTTTGTCATTATATTTTGGGGAAAATCCAAAGAAACTGGTTGGTAAACACCGCCAATCGGCGAGATGAAGAAGCAAAGTGTTAAGACTCGAATCAGGTCAAAAAGTGAACTGGTTGAGTCTTACCTCCTGGATGGTGCTGGTTGTGGTGGACAGCCCTCGGTCCATGGTGACAAAGCCAGAGTCCCTTGTGTGGTTCTCCTCCCGTGGACTGTCGAAGAAACTGGAGCCCTCCAGCTCCTTTGCCAGCCGCTTGTGCTCATCTTCCCAGTCGTAATCAGCTGGTGGTGATATTTTTTTAGTTAAGAATTTAAGCAAAGAGAAGCACAGACACCGACACAAACAATGGTCATTCTGGGCCAAGAAAAAAAAAAGAAAAAAAGAATAGGACCTGTGAATAACACCTTCCAACTACCCTCATCTTTTATTAAGAGAAGCAGTTTGCTGATATACCAGTCGTTTAAGGGTACAAAAAAAAAAGCAAGATTGACTTCATGAGTACAAAAGTAGGACTTACCAGGGACACCATTCAACCACCCACATAATCTGCAGGTGGCACGGCGTCCGAAATTCCGTCTCAGCGATCTTTTAGTTAGTCCGGGCCCCCCGCGGTAGGCCATAAATTAGCGGCAGGTGACCTGCAATTTCACGCGTCAAGTCGGGGATTGACCGGGGTCAACTCGTGCACAGCGCTGTCCTATCTTGTCCTTATCAGAACGCGTTTCTTCCCCTAATTTCATGAGCCGTAAAATGATGCTCACTGTACCCCTAGAACCTATTTCTTCACCAATTCCGCTTCGTCTACGTCTTCTTGATATCTTGTGAAAGTTTCAACAGTTTTCATTGATTCGTTTGGGAATAATAACAGTTTTAAATTGTGAGTGTTAAGTGATTGGAAGCGCCGATAATAATGTTATCTCTTCAAATTTAATTACAAATCATTCGAGAATGGAACGATGGTCTTTATTTCTGTTTGCACGGTGTGATAGCCATCAAATCATATTTTCTAATGATGTGAATTTTGTTTTTCCAGCACTTTGCAGTGACTGGCTATCAGTTAGTGAATTGTGTTCCTAAGTAAAAATCGTTAAACTGCAATGGGCCAGTCACACATATGAGAGGCATAGAGTCTCTGAATGGACTTTGTCGGGTGTGTTGGTGTTTAAATTTAACTGTCAAACAAAAAAAAAGTGCAGAAAGCCCCGATTATGTAAGACAATGGCAGGAGATATTCTCTTGATTTATGGGATTGATGTGAGGGACGAAAATGAACAGTCGTATTCCGCTAACATTTGTGTCAAGTGTTTTACCGCGATTTCAACTATCAAAGGGAGATAGGGTGTTACGTCATGTCAATTTATGCCGCAAAAAAGCAGTTGACACTAGTAGGAACATGTGGTGTGCGTTTGACAATAGCAGAAATATGAATTCCTTCTCCGTTTTGTTGGTACCGCTTAGGTGGCTGCATACAAAGATCAATTTCAAGCTAACATCGTAAAACACCCCAAACATACCTCCCTCCATCCCCATGTATGCAAGGAACTAACAAACACAATTTGTACAGAAACAAGAAAATACTCCGTCGAAACTGCAAAAATTGAGGAGGCAAAAGGAATGGAAGCAATATTCAATCTTCTCAATGAAAGATTTAGCCATGTTCACACTGCAATATCAAATCTCAAACCAGTCGAACGATTTTCAGTTCCACAAATCTTCTTAGCAATCGACAATTACATGTCCGCATTCAGACGCTATTTCCCCGCAAAGTTATCCCAAAGCCACACATATCATAACAACACTGTATTCCACACATACAACAACACATGTTTGCTCTCGGGCTTTTAGGAGAACAGGACACAGAAAGCAGTCACCAAGTGATCTCAAAACTGGAAGCCAGAGTATGAAGGATCCCAAACCAGATAGACATAATGCGTTTTTATTTTTGTGTCGCATCTCCTGCAAATAGCTCCCTCATTGCGTGCTGCTGGATATGTTTAGAAAGAAAAATTGTATAAATGTATACTTTTATTCTGTACATGTTCATTTCGTGAAAAGAAATCGGTGCTGTATATTGAAGATACGTCAGTATATCATTATTCAGGAGGATACACAATCCATTGGATACAAAAAGTCATGAATGCAGTGAAGCGTTTTGGCTATCATGCTCATGACAAGTTCCATGTTCGTGCTGGAAACAAAATTTTGAGTGAGTCAATTTCTAAACACATTTTCCTGTCTTACGTGGCAGTTTTGTAAATATTTATCGTTAGGCTTATAAGTTATTAGCCATTCAATATGTGTTTGTTGTTTTGACTAACTATAAATAGACATATATTTTAAGAGCAGCTAACTCAAAAACGTGAGCAGCCATGGTATTGCTATTTCGTACCAATAAAGAGGTTTAGTTGCTTTCTCTAAAGAACAAACTTGTGTTCACGTATGATATTTTTTGTTTGTGTAAGACGATAAAACATGTGTTGAAAAATTCATTTCACCGGCTACCGACGCAGGTAGCGGGAGGGCAGGTTAGTGACCTCTGGGTGACCGGCCCGCTGTGACCCGGTCACTCCATCGCCGATCCAACTAAAAGAGCGCTGTCTGTACGCCGTGGTGGGTATGCCAAGACAAAACTAAAACACTACGTAAAATACTTCTATGGTGCTTTTTGTAAAAACTCTACTTTGAATAGCAGCAACTTAACCCCAAAATTAAGTCTAATAAGTCAAAAAGAGGCCAACCATAAAATGAAGAATGCAACATTTCAGTTCTGCCCTGCACCCCAAATTGGTGAAAATAATTTTTTTAATCTGATGCATGAATTTATTTATTTACATGCTACATCAAGTCTCTTCCAACTTCCACAGGGAAAACACTTTCTCATTGTAATAACAAAAATGAGCAACTCCATTCAACCTTGTTTCACTAGGTAAGCAAAAGTCATTGGAGTTATTTTTCTTGCCACAGGGACAACTTCGTCCCTTAAACAGTACACAAGGCTATAGCTGAGAGGAAGATGTATTCCTAGAAAAACAAAAACAAGCTGACCACACTCGGACTTTAACTAAGTTAAAACTTGAACTTCCTCAAGTTCATAAGTAGGGATTAAAAGCTCTGCACCTTTACCTTAACTAAAAACTAACAGAGCAGTCATTTACACCTTAAATTATAAGAACAAGACAAATTGAATCCCACAACACTGGACAGTCCCAAGGGTAAAGAACATATATATATGCATAAATGCAAACTTTCCAAAACAAAAAAAAACAAAAATTTAACCCACGCGGCAGGTCAAGATGATGGGCACTGACCAAAAAGCCGACCTTCAAACACTCCCTACACACTTTTCTAAATCCAACAAAAGCAACCTATTCAAAGTAGACATCTGCAAAAGGTCTCTCAAATTTAGTTACAGGCTCCAGTCACATTATTATCTGCAAATCTAGTCTTGAAAAGTTCATAATTTTTTCCAGCATCAGCAAGTCCATGAGGAGCATAGCTTGAGAACACAGAGTTTGTATTTTCCAACATGAAAACTGCATTCAAATTTAATTTCTCAAAGCTCTCAGTAAAAAAAAAAAAAAACAAGTCACAAAGAAGAATTAAATATATCAAATGAAAAAACAGCCCAACAGTACATAAAAAACAAGAAGATGCAGGACAAACAATTTAGGAAAATGACAGCGACAAAATATAAGTTACCATCTCCAAGATCACCAAAAGTTTCATCGTTCAAAATATCAAATTCCTCTTCTTCTTCAGGAGCTTGAATCAGCTGATTGATGTCCTCATCAAGCTTTCCTGCTCCAAGAGCCTGCACCAACAAACAAAAGATAAAGAATACAACAATATAATATAGTATATATATCATGGCCTCAGACCTCGGCTCGTTCAATCATTCATGGTAGTGACATAAAAAAATTTATTTTAAAATGTATATATAACATTAAATTAATTAACAACTGCTCATGGGAGAATCAATTTTCCATCAATAAAGGAAACACTCTGGTCTATAACCTTACATGGCATCATAATAAACTCTGTCAAATACTATACAAGAGTGCACAGCTATAACACTTGAGATTGTTTTTGACAGAACTGTACAGATATTGTGAGAAGTCTGCCACTGCTATTTCAGCGAAAGAAGTAGTAGTACTGGACAAATGAGAACAAGTTGGGAAGTTAAATGATGATAAAACAGTTCAGAAGCCATTCTGGCAAGCAGTGAGAAAGCCAGAACAAGTGATGTGATGGAAAAAATATCTCTATGATGATTAGAGGCGGTACTTTTACTTTCTAAGAAAGAAAAGAACATTGGAGTGGGTTGTTGTTTTTTATGACAAGGCTGTCGTTATTCTCACCCGGGGTGAAAATAATCTCCATTTTATTCTCACGCGGGGTGAGAAAATATTATAATTATATTGTTATTCTCACCCCGGTTGAGAATAGAATGAATATTATTCTCACCCGGTCTGAGAATGCAATTAGGTTTTTAGGTCTACCTGGGTGTTGAGACCGAACGATAGAAAATAATTTGTGAATTGTAAGAGAGTAACCGTTTGCGACCTGCCCCAGAGTGCTGGCAGATTTTTCTAGGCTCCCGCTGGGATTTGTTATCGTTCAATTTTTTTTAAAATCTTGAGAGTATGCACGCATGTCTTCATAAAAACCCTAGACAAGTGTAAATACATTCTAAATTCAGAAGGGAATTCACTTGCCAGAGTAGTACGATTTTAAAAATAATAGCCTTAACTGAAAGCTGTTTAATGAAATAATAGTAATAGTTTGTCATTCGTAATGATACAATTGGCATTTGTTTACAACACAAAAAAAACATGTTTAATTGTTATCCCTAGCAGAACCCACCATTATTTTTTAAGGAAAGCAGGGCCTGGACCCTAGGCTTATTTTTTTCTTAATTTTGATTGGTTAAACCATTCAAGAGTAAACTTTTCTATTACAGAACCAATACATTAATACTGTAGCAACAAAAGGTGACGCTATTTGGTCAAAAGATAAAGTTTTTCCCCAAATCGACAATAGTCGCCCCCCGCGCCCGAGAGCTGGCCCGCCCGTTCTCGATTTTAGTCACCTCGCATGCTCAGCGGAGTGAGAGGGGGAGGGAGGCGAGTTTTGTCGCCTGGAGCGTTCAGTGACAGGGGTCCTATGATGCCCGAAACGAAAAAAGTGGGCGAGAATAGTAGGCTGTCGTTATTACGGTTATTCTCAATAGTATGAAATTTTATTCTCACCCCGTAATCACTGTGTTATGTCAATATTAATATAGAAGAGACCTCCTACCCAACCCTCTATTTCTATTCTATTGTATCATAGTGGTCGCTCGTTTTATGGTATTCCTCCCCACAACACTATACTACAGTAAAGGCCCTTCACGCATGATGATTTTTCTTTTGTGACTGCCAGCACATTTTATGATTTTAGTCTAGATTTCACCTAGAATCTAGATCTAGGCTGGATCTTAAATAAATAGGAAGTAGCTAATCTCAACCTGTGTGAGAATAAAAATACGATTGACCTCTCATCCCGGGTGAGACTTGCCAGCCAACATTGGCTGGCAAGTCTCACCCGGTGTGAAGCAAGACATGTTTTTCATTATAATTTCTGAATACTGTCTAGATCTATCGGAGCGGATGATCAAACTGACAAAAAACGAAGAAAAAAAATATGATAGTACAAAAGTAAACTAATTTGGTCGTCTATAAAGATGCTATGCCCCTCTCCGGCAGTGGTACTGACTGTGTTTAAGTGTCTTTAGGTCATTCCCAAAGGGGGGACATTAACATGTTCTTATGAATAGTAGAATTGTAAATTGCAGCTTTTTCTTTTCTCATCCTTACTAACGTCATTTCTCCTCTACTTCTTTGTACGTTTTGTCACTCCCTTGGCTTCATCCTTTCATTCTGCCATACTGCGAGGACAGGGAGGAAGCATTTTTCTCATTGAATTCAATTTCTAGAGCTAGAGGTTTTTAAATGTCAGGAGTCAGAATATTCAGATACTTCAGTTGTGGTTGGGGCAACGTTCCCGCACTATACTTCATTTGAAAATACCTTCAAAAGGTACTGCGAGAAAACAAGACTGCTCCACTTTGGCAGTAACCTATTTGACATTTAGTCTCCCAGCAAAAACTAAAATCCTTCACGTAAAAAAAAAAATCCCTCCACGCCCCCTCCCTCCCCCCGTTCACACCTTACACACACACTGACACACACACACACACAGGCCACTCCATTTGCGTAAAGGCCTATTATCAACAAATCTCTAGAACGCAAACCGTTTGGAGAAATAAAGTTGAAGTTTATTTTCCCGAACGTTCGGAGAAATAGAACCGGCCTTAAAATATTTTATCTGCCCGAAGGATTAGAAACTATGGATTTTATGTTACAATCCGGGCACCCCACCCTTTGGGCAAAAACAAAGTGACTGAACTGAAAATTCTCTTTCATCCTTGATAGGGCCTCATTAAAATAACTCTCCAGCTTTCAGAGTAGAATCTGGGCCACAGGCTCCTTCATCAACAACCAATGTTAACTCTTCCGGGGGAAGAGCTTAGGCCTAGATCTACACGCTGTTTTGCTCAGTTGATGAAGAAAAAGCTGTCTCAAGGACTAGATTCTAGATATAGGCCTACTTTTAGCAAAATGCCGCCGTCACTGTGGTGTCAACGAAAGTAAGGGAGGTTGCTTTAAGTTTGACACAGTTTGTACGCCCCTCTTTTGGGGTCAGATTTTTAAACAACATTTTTTACGATTTTTGGGGGGCTCCAGTGCCCGAAAACTAAAAAAAAACCTGATGCCCGACCCGGCAGTTCTCTCTAATCTTGATCTGTGGATGCTAGATCTAATCTAGATCTAGATCTAGAATCTAAATCTCGGAACAAATTGCATGATCTTTTCATAGTGTGCATCATAGATGTAGGAAGTACTATGGGCGCTTTTTCGGTAGTTCCAACCCCGCAATTGTTATTCACGGGTTCAGGCCCTAAGAGTAGGGGGGTTTCAGGGGGGCATGTTTTGCAGTTGTAAGGTTTGATATCTTAGTAAGACTCTTAGTCTTAGCTCGCCGCGAATCAAATGTAGATCTAGATTCTATAGATCTACGAAGTGGCTATTCTCATCCGGGGTGAGAATAGAAAAACGATCTACCTCTCACCCCGGGTGAGACTTGCCAGCGTAGGCTATTCTCACCCGGTGCGAAACAAGACCTGCTTTTCCTCATTTTGGAATACTGTCTATCGGTGTGGATGATAAAATTGATAAAAGCCAAGAAAAAATTACGTTATAGCACAAAAGTAAGCTAATTTGATCGTCTTCAAAGATGCTATGGCTATTTCACTGTTCGAATCGAGCCGAACTACGCGGGTCGCCATTTTGTTTTGCCCGGAAGTTCTCGCAAGATCTACTCCTCCCCTCTCTCTCTCTCTGAATACTGTCTATCGGTGTGGACGATCAAATTGACCAAAACAAAGTTAAAAAATGATGTTAAAACACAAAAGTAAATTAATTTGGTTTGTCTACAAAGATGCTACGGCTATTTAACTTTTCGAATCAAGCCGAACTACGCGGGTCGCCATTTTGTTTTGACTGGAAGTTCTCGCGCTACTCCTCTCTCTGTCTCTTTCTCTCTCTCTCTCTCCACTGCCCACATACAAAATTGTACGCTTTTAGTTTTAGTAGGCTACAGTTGTAATGGAACGTTTGTTCACGGCACAGAATTCTACAATTTTTCTGTTATCACAGTGTAGGCTAGAATTCTGTGGTTTAGGGTGAACGCAAAATTTGTTGGCCTAGATCTACTAGGCTATAACGGTGAACGCGCACCGGGTGAGAATAGCCAAAAGACTAGCCTGCCCCGGGTGAGAATAGAGGTGGCCATAGATCTAGATTCTTTCTAGACCTCTAGATCTAGATTCTAGATCTAGATGATCTAGATTTAGATGTAGATTTCTAGGTCAGGCTCAAATAAGGGGGGTGGGAACTAGCCTACCAAAAAAGCACCGTACTATGACCCTATGACCATAGAGTATGCACCTCCTACAGATCTATGGTGTGCATGCAAAGTGCAGTTGGGCAAGGCAATGTTATTGTTATCGAAATAACGTCAGTGTGAAATTTGATGGTATTTGTCATTGATAAAACGAACACACGTTGAAGATTAGATAAATAAAACATGAAATGACACATATGTAACAACGGAAGCCATAAGTTAGAGAAGTATGCTTTAAATAATCATAATTAGGCCAAGTAAACTGATTTCACTTACGGAAAACATCCTATCGGCGTCGCGCGACAATGCCATGTTTACGCCATTTTGTTACTGATAGAGGAACTCTCGAACTTTGACAATGCACAAAACAGTCGATTCATACTTGTGCAATTTATATTTGATACACAGTGCCTTTTTTAGACAAAATATATTTTTTAAATGATTTTGTCTTGTGATTTAGAAAAATTATTTCTAATACAATTAGTTGTCAGCTAAGAATGGGAGTTCGAGAGTACTTGGGCAAAATCTCCGGTCGATTTTCCGCCATATATCGTCAAACAACGGCCATTTCCGTCAGTTGTGATGGTTTGGTGAGGAAAACAGCCCTTTGTAAGACTTTGTCTTGATATTAAGAGGGAATATTGTACTGAATGTGATATTTGTGTGCTCTGTGTACTTTGTATGCCAACATGTAACCCGTGTGTGAAGTCTGTTGGCAAGGCCTTCGTCGGCGATGTCTGAAGTCGATATCGCCGGAGACCTGCCGAATGGTGACGATTCCGCATTCGTAGACGAACATCACCACGGCTCGGAAACTTCGCCAGAATCCTCATCTGTTGCTGCAGCAACATCACCCGCTAGCGCTATTTCATCCGACCATGTATTTGTTGCCACTTCTCAGGGCCTCATTACCGCCCAACAATTTCAAGAAGCAGCAGCTAGTGGTGGAATCAAAACAACTCACATAGTTATCCATGATCAGACTCTCGATCAGCTGGCGGCGGAGGCCGGAGGGCTGAAGACCCCCACCACCCCCCTCCCGCCCCCGACTCCTGCCACACCCCTGAGTAAAGAAAAGGGCTTTCGCTATCAGTGGGACGATTCTGTTCATAATGATATTTTACCAGTTAGGTGTAAACACACCAACGGCGAACTACACAAGTCTAAGTTTGGCTCCGGTGAGTTATCCCATGTAAATTTCTTTAAGCGCCAAGTGATAATTAGATCTGAAAGTTGGAAAGTAAAAAGCTCAGGCAAGACTACCTCTGTGAACTCTGTCCTTTTTGCCTTTATAAAGTTTTATGGTCACAAGCTTGATCTAAATCTAGGTCTAGATCTATATCTGGATCTAGATACACGCTCTTATAATCAGACTTACTATCTATCTCAGAGCATCTAGGTCTGTATGCTATGCAGCTATCTGACTATGAATAGATAGGCTAGCCTAGTTGTACTATCACTATCATCACAGAAAGTTCAGGAACTTTATATTATACTATAATTCTATACAATATTTAACTACTATAGAATGGTCCCTGTAAAGTGAAGTATAAATAATCTAGGCCTATGAAACTCTTGGAGGTTTAGAATAGAAGTAACCTGTTTCCCTGCTCTCAAATTAAATTTAACAATTTTAATGATGGACAGACATGAAATTTTATATTGAATTATACAAATGATATAGAGTCTATATATATATATCTATATCTATATCTATATATATCTATAATTCTATATATACTATTGCTTGTTCACTTTCATCTAAATTCGCAAAAAAAAAATTCTTGCTTTTTAAAAATTAATTTTCTTAAATGCCCACGAAACTGCATGGCACCTCTGCAGGCCAGCCACTAAACAAAAGTATATTCATAAAACAATTTTGATCCAGTAATAAAAAAGTTTTTATCTTTGAGCCCTATTTAAAACCCGCTCTTTGGATGCATGCACAAGATCACTAATATAAATGACCCAGTCTTTTGAATCATGTTTCTTTTGCGAACGTTAAAGTATGGTGTTGAGGAAAATGTGTAAACTTTTGGTAAATTTTTACTTTCACTCCCTCACACTGATGCACTGCTTTGGGGGTCAAACTGCAGTATTTTTTGCAACATCACACATAAAGCCATTAAAACTGTCGCAAATCAAATGTTTTCAAGAAAATTTCAAACCTCACTGCAAAATGTCAAATTATGGGTTGAGACACACCCCCCTGTAACCGTAACCTCCAAGGTTTTTTATAACTTAAGGAGGGGGGGATGGGCCACCCCTCCCTGAAACCCCCCGATTGGTCCAAAGCGAGCAGATTACTACTCGGTTAGGCTTAGTTTGAGTTCAATTAAAAACCATCAAATATGTCTAAAACTATTAATTTGCGATAGAAATGAAGTTGATATTCTGAACTTCATGTTCAGCTTATATTATCAATATAGCAGAAAAATATGGACAACTGGTAGCTAAGTGTGAAACGGGAGCAAAAGTAAAAGAACACCCAACTTTTTTTATGCTTTAGGTGTATGCTGTAAATCCCCTATTATTTTTTGGAACTGCTTTAGGCTTAAAGCAAAGAAAAGCTGTCCGAACCTTAGACCCGTTTGAAGATAAAACAGCGATTTCATTCTTGTTTTAACTGCGGTCAGATGAAAGTGAACGAGCTATAAAACTATGTATACCTCCTGTATGTTTTCTGATTTCTCTAATTTAACATACAACAATTGATCTTAATGCACTTTTTCTTCTGATGTAACCAGTGGTCAAAGGCAGTGACCATATTCACTGTGGCTGGAGTCCTTAGCCTTAGCCGCATGGAATAAAGGGAAAGTTTTTTAAAGAAGAATCTTAACAGGTGATGGAACATGGATTCTTGGGATCCGAAGCTGAATTTAAAAGGTACCAGAATGGAGAAACCCAGGATCACCACCTCTCTAGAAAGCTTGGCCCAAGCAAGGTGCTTTGAGAATGGTGACATCATGATCATCTTTTTCTATGACAAATGTGTGATTTTGAATATCCCTGCTATTCCCATGCGACTTTCATCTCTTCCCCAAAATCAAAACAGGATTAGGAGGGAGTCAACGATTTGAAGGCGAGGAAGAAATTGTGCCCAAAACAAATGCTGCACTAAGGACTCTGGCCAAAGCAGACATGTTCACTGCGTTTGACTGTTTGTTGCAATGAAGGAAAAAGGGCTTTGAGATCAACAATTGTTTTGTTGAAAAGAAAGCATGTTTTTGTTAGCTTGCACAAATTTTCATGTCTAAAATAAAAATTGATTATTTTACAGAACTGGGAATCTTACTTCCGGGACAGACTTTGACCTCGTTTTGATGTTATTTTCTCACCCTTATGGTTCTCATTATAGTAGGTCTTTAACTTGGGACAACCTGCCATTTGAGCATCTACTTGTTCCACTCTGTCCATAAGATCCGTAAATTTATAATGTGGGTGGTTGGCGGCTGCTCTGGTGTGGTTGGCTTCTTCTTTCCTATCAAACCTTCGTCTTATTCCCCCCTCCTTTTTTGTGTTTGTTACTCTCTTGTAACACCTCTAATCTTGGGCACTTATATATCACCTTATTGTGTTGCAAGTGCCGTAAAACTCTGCTAAAAATAAAAATTTTTACTTCATGCTCCACACTTTGGCTTTTTCTAGTCTTCTATAGATCTGTCCTTGGTTATAGTCCAGCTCTCACATCCTTATAAAAGGAAAAAGGATTGACCAGACGTGCGCTTTCAGGGTTCTTATCTTTGTGTTCACCGATTCTGTTTCTGTTTGAGAGGAAAAGTTCAGTTTCGTGTGGAAAGTTTCCTTATAAATTGGTCCTTTTTTTTTTTTATCTCTCTCACTTTTTTGCATCTGAATTGTGTGACCAAGGTATTTAATTTTTAAAAGCTTTTGACCTTTTTTATTGTGAGCCACCTATTTCTCTTCTTGTTATCACTCAGTAATGAAAATCTGCTATCTCATTTTGTGTCTGGGTTTTTACATTCATCAATGCTCTTTATTTTATCTCCCCACACCCCTTGAATGTATTGAAGTGAAAGCACCATCAATGTCAATCCTTGTCAACAACTCTTTTTTTATTCGTCTTGCATACTTTGGCCTATTTATATGAACATGCAGGTCATTTTGATTCTATCTCTGTTGTCTCTGTATGACACTTCCAATACAATCTTTATTTTTTAAAGATATATAAAGAGTAGAATCTGTGCATATATGTGTTTTAAGTATAGTGTCTTTCTGGTTCCCATCTGCTCCTTTTAATACTTGATAGAAACAATAAAATTAATTGGCCAGTTACCACTGCCCTGCCTTTCTGTTTGTCAGAAACAGAATAGATAGTTATATCCTTGATGATGTAGTCTAATTTATTTATCAGCCCAGTGAGAAGATCAAGACAATATTATTATGTTTTTAGTTAAAAATTACTCTTTTTTTTCCCAGGAGGAAGAGGAAAATGTATCAAAGCGAGCGACGGTGTGTGGTACACTCCCAATGAGTTTGAAGCTGCCGCAGGTCGGGCTAGCAGTAAAGATTGGAAGAGAAGCATTCGCTATGGGGGCCGGACCCTCCAGTGTTTGATAGAGGACAACATCCTCCAGCCTCACGCGACATCATGTACCTGTGCCTCGTGTTGTGATGATGAGGCCGTTGTAAGCATATTTTCCTCAGTCTCACTCTTACTTTTTTTTCCACATGTCATATTTTTTAAAGATTTAAGACTTTCCCATTTGTACAATTTTGATAATGGTAGCCTTTTTACTGAATAAGTGTTTCTGTGTGTCGTGCAAGATTAAGCAAGAGAATGTGCCTTCTTTTTTTGCTCCTAGGCAACATGTGAGTTATGTCCCATTATTAATTCTTTGAACATGGTAAGAAGTATTTTTGTAATTAACCTTTTTTGAGTTATACCGTCATATTGCCACTCCTGCTTTTACTGGCTTTCCCACTGTAGAGCCCAACCAGCTTTTACCGGCCTGACAGTTCATAAAGCTGATTTTGAACCATAGCATTCTGTTTCTCAAAAAGAGTTTAAGTCGTTCTCCAACAGATTTCGAGGGTTGCATCTTCTGAGTGATGTTTACAGCCTAAAGGGCTAGAGCAGTCATGATTTGAAGAGAAGTAGAGAATATTACCCTCTATTAAACACTTTTTTTATGTAGCTCAAGCATCTTAATACCTGACTGTTCAAGTCTAAGAACACATATTTTTTCTTGTGATTTAAAATAAATATCATTTCAGACTGGCCCCATCAGATTATTTGTGCCTTACAAACGACGAAAGAAGGAGCTAGAGAATGAGCCCCTGATTTCTCCGACAAAGAAGCAACCCCGGTTAGCCCCAATGAAGTCCCCGGTTCCTGTTGCACAGCAGATAGGAGTAGCTGTGCCGAAAGTGGAAGTAGATCAAGGTAATCACGATGCAGAAATCTTTTACCCGTTGGCTATCAAACGAGAAATATATCTCGAGCCAATAAATGAGCTGCACAAACTCCTGAATCACCTAAATCGTAATTAGTCTTTGAAACCATCCCGAGCATGTGAAATACATTTTTAACCATGTTTTTTTGTCAAAAATAACTTTGGCTTCCACTTCTCTTTGTTCATTTTCAAATTACACAGCAGGTTAGTGTGATTTTTGTTATTGAAAGGATTTATTAAAACGTAACAATTTGTGCAGCCAAAAATATAGATGCGTGGTCCTTCAGTGAAATTAGTGCTCCTTATGTTGAAAGTCTGTTACTACCATTGCCACCTTCAGAGTTTCATGACCTGCTATTGATTGTCTATTGTCTATTGATTCCTGTGTCATGTTCGCCGGCCATAGGAGGTGCGGGGCAAGTGATGGTTCCCGTGGTCTCCGGTCAGGGCACGATGCACAACCCAGCGGCCATGCAGAACGTGTCCATGCATTCAGCAGAGAACAAGGGAGAGATGGTGCACATCGTGGCCACTGACGCTCAAGGGAATTTAGTGGCTGGAGGTATATTCTTCATCACTGGACTGACTATGGATTTTGTTCTGTCAAAATGGTATTGGGGCTTGCCCCTCCCCTCCCCTTCCCTGCTCTTCAACCCCCCTGTATATGGACACACACACTTGTTTACCTTTAGTTTTTAACATTTAGAAGGGGAGAGGTGAGGGGTTAAAGATTATTAGTCTTTTGAGACAAGCAACATAGTTCAAATTAAATCTAAAGTAAAGTTCCAAATTGTTTTAGCAAAGTTTGTTTTCATGGTAATTTGACCAATGAGTTCATAATGTATTAATTAAAAATTACATTTGCCCCCACCAATCAACAAACAAACAGTTTTTAAAAATGTTTGGCCCGCTCAAAATGGGATTATTGTGAAAAATTTAACAGGGGCTACCTGCTGACAGAAAGAATCCTTGAAGATCAGCCTAAAATAATGACTGTGTTTGCCTTGAAGCTAACAGCAAAACTTTTTCTCAATTTCAGATGCTGTTGTCATGACCCCCATTGCCCTGGCCCAACCCCACCAACAACAAGGTGCCCAGATCGTCACCATGGATGTTATGGAGCAGAAAAATTGGTGGCAGTTGGAAGAGGTAGCAATCATTTTGGATTGGTGTTATTTTTTTCCTGTATATTGGAGAAGAAAAATTGATGGTGGATGTTTGTTAGCTTTTTTCTTTCTCTAAAATGGATCTGAAAAATTGGTGGCAATTGTAATTTAGGACTTTGATATTATTTTTTCTATAAAATGGAACAGAAAGATTGATGGCACTCTTATTTAAGATTTTCGTTATTTTTTAAAATAAAATAGAGCAATGCAAATGGTGGCAGTTGAAAGAGGTAGCACTGTTGTTTAGGATTTTTATATTATTTTTCTGTAAAATAGAATAGGAACTTTGGTGGCAGGTTGAAGAGACAGTACCGTACTTAAGAATTTTATTGCTCTTTCTTCTCTTCAGGGTATATTTCATGAAAGAGAGTTTGATAATGGTGAATGGCAAAGTCTGAAAAATGTAACCGCTGCATTGTTGTGAGTTTGTGAACACATACTGATGGCTGGGTGCAAGACTCTTACAGTCTCGAGTCTGTTTGTTTGTCCCAGATGGCCAACAACTTGCTGCAGCAGGCCCAGCAGCTGAAAATAATGATTGAGCAGGTCAAGCAGCAGAGTCTGGTGGCTAAAGACAACGCTCTACAGCAGCAGAGGGCACAGATGGACAAGGAGAGGCAAGAGGTGAGACTGAGGGAGGGAGGGGGGAGGGAAAGTGTGAGAAATTAAGAGGGCACAGAGAGACAAGGGGTGAAACTAAGGGAGGGAGGGAAAGCGTGAGAGAGAGAGAGAGAGGGGGGGGGGGGGCACAGAGAGACAAGAGGTGAGACTGAGGGAGGGAGGGATAGTGTGAGAGATTGAGAGGGCATAGGAGGCAAGAGGTGAAACCGAGGGCGGGAGGGAAAGTGTGAGAGATTAAGAGAGAGAGGCAAGAGGTGAGGCAGAGGGAGGGAGGGAAAGCGTGAGAGGTTAGGAGGGAGAGAGAAAGAGGAAACAGAGAGGCAAGGGGTGAGACTGATGGAGGGAAAGCGTTAGAGATTAAGATAGAGAGAGGGGGGGGCACAGAGAGGCAAGAGGTGAGACTGAGGGAGGGAGGGAAAGTGTGACAGATTGAGAGAGATAGATTTTTTGGTGGATAAAGGCAATGCTCTTACAGCAGCAGAGGGCAGAGCTGGACAAGCACAGACAAAAGGTGAAACAATATGAGATATAGAGGGAGAGCTTGAGGAATGAGAGGGAAGGTGTGAAAAGGGGAAGGAAAGAGTTTGTCTGGTAGCTTAGTTAAGACAGTACTCTACAATAGTAGAGGACACAGGATGAGAGTGGGAAAGACAAATCATGTGTAGCTTATTGTGAAATAAAAGTAAAAAATACCTTGAGAATACAATGCAGTCTCATTTTGATAAAAAATGTGAGATGCTGTTATGCTAATTCACTGCTGGAGGAGTGAAAACTAGGCAAAAGAATGGGAGCGCCTTAGTTGGGGAGGGGGGGGTTTAGCGCTAAATTTGTTTTGGCATTACTAATGTTTGCTTGTTCCTCAAGATCTAAGAAAAACATTAAGCAAGGGCACTCTGGTGTGGTTTGCTCTTTTATATTCATCAAACATCTGTTGTCCTTATCTCTACTCCTACTTTTATTTGTATGCTACTCCCTAGTCTCACCTCTAAACTTTGGCACTTATATGACCAAATCGTAGTGCAAGTTCCGTTAAACTTTTACTAAAGCTAAACTTTTAAGATGAAATATTTGTCCTCAATGTATCCATTTTGAATGCTGATATCCATTACTTTCCTTCTCCCTTGTGCCTGTGTACAGGCTGTCAATACCATGAGGATGGAAGCCTCGATGAAGCTGTCGCGGGTGGTAATGGAAGAAAGAACTCAGAAAGAAATAGCTGTGCAGCAAGCGTTGGCACAGGCGCGACACGACAGTGTCAGTGTCATCTCTGCAGATGACAAGGTCAGTAGGTCCTTTACGGTTACAAAATCTGATAATTACGCTTTATATGATACAATAGTTTTGATGCCCATAGGTGTCGGGTAGACCAGCGTCTGTGATGTAGCAGTTTTAGGTGCTTTGCTGTTATGCACAGAAAATCAAAGTTCGTTTCCTGTATGGAGAGAATTTTTTTGAGTTTCTCGCTCTTTCAGCTAGGATGTCGTTTCCTCCTCAGCCCAGGTTGATCCCAACTGGCAGGGTTGAAGCCCTCCTAATTTATCTAAATTGAATCGATTTGAAGGAGGGGTGGCTTTAAAAAAACACCTAGATTAAAAGAATAAATAAATCAATGCTTCAGTTAGGCGGCGCTGTACTAGTTCATATTGTTGTGATGTTAGTTACCAAGTGGTCACACTGCTGAACTCGCACCCATACGTTCATGGGTTTGAATCCTGTTTTGGCCCCAGTGTTGTATCCTTGGGAAAGGCATTTGACACAGACTTTACTCCGTTAGCCAAGGTGAAAGATCTTGTCAGTTCATAAGTGTTTGAGTACCTGTCTAATTCTCAGAAAGCTGAAAATGTTTTGGAATGTTACTGAGTCTGTTTGGGGTAATTGTAGATTGTAAAACGCATTGAGGTATACTTTCTAGTAGGGATAAGCACATTGCAAATGCAATCAATTTTTGTTGTTGTTGTTGTTGTTTTTCTTTTTCTTCTTCTTCTTCTTCTTTTTCTTCTTCTTCTTCTTCTTCTTCTTCTTTTTCTTCTTCTTCTTCTTCTTCTTCTTCTTCTTCTTCTTCTTCTTCTTCTTCTTCTTCTTCTTCTTCTTCTTCTTCTTCTTCTTCTTCTTCTTCTTCTTCTTCCTCCTTTTTTTTGGGGGGGGGGGGGGGGGGGGAAAAAACGTCTACATTTAATAAATGTTCTCATGTAGAAATTCTATTTGTCAACTGACTTCTTAATGAGCTCACTTTTTCAATTACAAGTAGTTCCCTCAAAGTCTTATTTTAAATATTGCGAAGAGCTCAAAAGAATTTTCAACTTCTTCGCTCTCCATTCTGAAGAGATGAATAAACTTTGTTTTTTCTCTCTATAAAGTTCTTTTCTTTTTGTATGTTGTGAAGAGATGAAGAGATTTTATGCGTTATGAAGAGGTGAAGCCTTTGATCGAGTAAACAGAAACAAGCTATGGAAGATCTTTGAACAGTACGACATCAAGGGACTACTGCTAGACAACATTAGGGCTATCCATGCCAACAGCAGAAGCGCAGTCAGCACTACCAGTGGAACATCGGACTGGTTTCCAGTAACATTCGAAGTCAGGCAGGACTGCAATCTCTCCCCCTCTGCTCTTCGTGATCTACATGGACCAGATGACAAAGGAGGCCAATTCAGACCCAGAGGCACTCAAAGAACTCATGTTTGCGGACAACCTAGAAATGATGAACAACGAGACTCAACTACAGGAGCGTATAAACCAACTAAACGCGAGTTGCGAGAAGTATGACGTAAAGATCAGTGTTAGCAAGACTGAGGTCATGACAGTAAACAGGAGACCGGACAAAGCGGATATCAACTTCAATGGATCCCAACTAGCAAATTCAAATACTTGGGCAGCATTTTCACAGAAAGCAGCAAATTAGATCGAGAAATAGAGACAAAATGCCAGAAAGCCAATGCAGTCCACTATCAACTCGCCCCTCTCTTGAAACATCCCAATAATTATCCCCATGAGCACCAAGGCAAAGCTCATCAACGACTTTTTCATACCAACACTCACATATCAGTGCCAGACATGGTCCCTAAAAAAGCCCTAGAGAGGAAGCTGGTCTCTTGCGAGATTAAATGTTTAAGAAGAGCGGTTAACAAAACAAGAAGGGGCAAAATAAAAAATGAAATCATAAGGGACACGGTAGGAGCAACACCAGTCCTACCACACTTTGAAAAACACAAGATGAAGTGGTTCAGACACCTCACACAGTGCCCTCAAACCAACCAGCACTGAGGGCGTACGACATCAAATATTCTGGCTGGAGAGCAAGGAGCAAGAGGAAGACCAAGGCGACGCTGGAGTGAATCTGTAGCAGACACCCTCAGAGCTCTCGGGTTGTCTCTCCTACAGGCCACTCGCCTTGCTTCAGACAGATGCCTGTGTCTCCCCGCGACACGCTCCGGTACACGCGGAAGAAAAAAGTAACGTTAAGTATGAAGAGGTGAATTGACTTTTTGTCTTTCTTTCTTTTTTTCTGTACATTGTTAAGAGATAAATAAATCTTTGTCTTTCTCTGTTTCTTTCTGTATACAGTGTAGAGCTGAATATACTGGAGTTGTTTTTCTCTCTCTCCCTTGGTGTGATTAGGTGACCTACAGTGTGGCATGGCCAGTAACTAGCTCCCAACCCAGCATCACCATGGTGCTACCCCAGGAGGAGGATGAGGAGGACAAAGACGTCAAAGACACTTTATGATGACACACCGGACAACAACGGCCTCCAGAGCCTGCCTCGTTTTGATCTCCATTTTATTCCTTCTCTTCACCCATTTACTCTCTATCTCACTCACGAGATGACCAGCATCTGTGGTATAGCTGTTAGGCGCTTTGCTGTCGGATGCAAGAGACCCGAGTTCAGTTCTCGAGTGGGGACAAAATTTTAATGATAGAGTATCTCGATCTTTCTACTGGGATGTATCCCTCTCAGCCCAGGTTGACCCTGACAGGCCGCCCTCAAAATGATCTAAATTGTGTTAATGGGGGCGTAAAAACACATGCATTAACTCACAAGATGAAGATACGTGTCCACTACACGAGCCTCACGCATTGCTGCTTTCTGAAGTTCCATCCATGGTGATCTTCCATAGCAAATCTGTCGTTGTTTTCCTCCATGTCGTGTGGGTTGGCTGTGGTACCTTTTTAAGGGTGTTATGAAGTTGTGTCCTTGTTCTCAGTCTCCTTTCACTCTTGGGGGAAAGCCCAGGAGTTACTCCTCTGGAAGCTAAAGACTGATAAACACAGGTGCAGTGCATTGCATTTTATTTTACGGAAATGTGCCGAGTGCCTATTTGTTTTGTCTATAAATTGCTGCTGCTGCAAGAGGTCGGATTGCCAGAGAAATTACTAAATAGTCCTATTTAAAGCTTCAAAAAATGTATTTCCATTTCCATTATCGTTTTTGAAGTTTTAATTACTAATATATTATTTAGGGGGCTGAATGCATAAGACATGATATTGTGCGATGAGTTGTGTACTTGACAAAATGAGGAGTGCCTTTTTGTTCCCATCGGAGCCAAAGAACTGATGGAAATTGATGATATTGTATGTGTTACATTTTCCAGTGAGCATCAATTTTTTATGAATTAAACATACATGGGAGATACACCTGATAAGACTGGCGGCACGAAAAAATTCACCTAAAATTCATTTTTTTATATTTTCAATTACTTTTTTCTACCGTGTCCCTTTTTAAAAAAAATTGCAGGTGAGATACCAAGCTTTAAAATGAGAATACGTGCTTTTGAATATAACGTCAAAGAAGGTGGCAAAATGCAAAACCATGAACAAGTTGAAATTTCACGATAAGAAAAGATAACAAAATTGCGCACATGATTCTGAACATAATTGTAGGAATTTCAAAACAACAAAAATAAATTAAGTAAATGAGGTACCAATGCATCTTTTGTCTGTTTTAGATTTTCAATATACTTATTGTAAAAAAAATATATCAGCCCCAAAATGTCAGCAATTTTTTTTCTTAAAATTTTATGATATCAAGAGTGATGAAAAATAAAGTATGCAGAATATCAAAAATCTAAAACAGACAAATGGTGGCAAAAACAATAAAATAGAAATGCTGAAAATTTGAAGGAAATCGGTTAAGAAATAAGGGAGATATCGTGCGCGCAGCCTCTAAAACTGTTGATTTTAGGAGAAAATCGACAACCAAAAATTTGCACTAACCTTTTATTTATACGAATGAGCCCCCCTTGCATAAGTTCCATCTTCTTTTGCCTCGTCTGCTGCTTTCTTTTCTCTCCTCTTCTGCCTGCTATACTCCAAAGATGCTTCTGTTGTGCGGATTTCTGCCCTTTTTGTCCTCTGCGAATCCTCACTTGCAAAGAACTGTCGTGCTAATGTCCCACGAGGAATGTCGAGGCGCTCCAAGACTTTCGATAAACTTTTCATACCGTCATTGAACGTTATTGTGGCAAGGCCAACGGCTGTTCTCACTGCCTTAGCCCCATGGTACTGGTTTTTTGGGCGAATCTTCCATATTTTCTGATTGACAGATTCATTTGCATTTTGTGTATAGCTATCAAGGCACCTGTTGAGAAGATCTGGGTGGGTTAGGTCCTTGAAAATTGGTTTGCATATTTCCAAGACTGCTTCAGGAAGGCTGCTTTTGTGATCATATGGTCTTCCATCTTTTTTTGCCTGAAATTACTTACACCACTTGATATTACAGAGCTGGTGACGGGGGCTTTTATTAGTTGACAGTTTGTGGAAGTATATTATTGCCAATATGCTTTCACGCATTCCAACAGAGTTGTGCTTGTTGTCACGGATCGCGTTCCCAAAGTACGTTTGTATTTGGTCGATCTGCTTGTCTGTCAGTCTACCTGCACCACCAATACTCTTTCTGTCTTTCAGCTTTTTACCAGAATAACTTGACTTGAGTTTTCGAAGTCTCGTTCCCATTCGTTTTTGAACATGGCCGACACATTCAATTTTCTCGACTGCCTTTTCCCCATATGGTTTTGACTCCGACACAGTTTTGAAAGAATTGGTGTCACCATCCCCAATGTACCGGGTATACCGTAAGTTGCTCTTTTCAACTGATCTTGAAAAAATTTCAACCCCAGACTTAGCTTCCATGGAGCCAGACGACCCGTCATGTGACGCCTCATAAACAGAAGGGTGGCTTCTTAACCAAGTTTCGTATTCGACCGACTGGGTTTCTTTTCTCTTTGACCAATAGTCACAACTCTTACAAACCTTTGATCTTACAGCGGTATCTAATACTTTTCCTGTTACACAACCGATTGCATTGACTACTCCTATATTTGAGGAAAAGCCCCGACTCATGCATGTCCCATCGACAGAAGTATCGGTGTCTCGCGGTGTCTTCAGCTTCATCACTGTTGGTGAGCGAAAACTCGATAGCAGCAGCTTTTGTCATGCTCTCATTTTGAATGTTATCTACAGCTTCACCAAGACTGCTTTTTATTTTCTGATACGATGGCTTTGTCACTGGTGGAGGCAAGTTCATAATGCCACAAAAAGTCTGCAGGGCAGTTAGGCCGCATCCAATGTACCGCATTGCAAGAGCAATCCGTCTATTTATCGAGTGATTGATAAGTCCACTAGACCCACTTGACCACCTTTTAGCTGCCACAGAAGGGTCAGAAAAGAATGGCTCAGAAACTTTGCATTTTCCGTTCTCACAAATGAAATGAAAGACACTCCCCAACCCACTTCGCTTTTCTTCAACGAGCCGTGCTGTACTATGACAATGTCGGCAGACAAGATCCGATTCTATTTGGTTTCTGAGAATGTCAAAGTCAATAATTCTGTAACCAGAGTCATTTTCTAGATTTAGATCTAAATCTTCCCCCTCAGAATCAGAATTATCACTACTAGATCTAGAGCAGTCTTTATCACCGCCATAGAGGCCTTCTAACTTGATCTTTGATCTGCTGTAGGTTGGAGAAGTTGGAGCATGATTTCTATTTTGATCTGGAGTCTGTAGGCCTACGTTGTTGTTGTTGTTGTTAGAACTACTAATAGAGTCAGACCCATTTGATCTGGAAACATCTTCTTCCCCCACTTCAGATAACCTTTTTTTCGATGCAAACTGGTTGTTACTTTTGAAGAAGCCTTTCCTCTTCTTAGGTCTGGTTCCACTGGGCCTAGGCATTTTCAACTTCACAAGAACTCAAAGCAAGACACTCTCTCTTTTTGTTCTCACGATAACAAGTGTTACGTTTCACTTCCCAATGTTTACAATGTTGAATTTCCGCCTTAAAAGGGAGTAGTTCATTATTTGGAACAGTTTTTGACAATGCAAATAGCGCAGCTTTCCCCAACAAAATCAAAACAAACTCGTTGCTAGGGTAAACAAAGTAAACATCACATCAACTGGTTACACCTAGGTTCAGAAAAAACATTGTAAAATAAAAACTAATCAACTGATTCTAAAAATTTAAAAACCAAAATAAACTAGAATAATAGCCGCTCCCTAATAACTAGAAATGAACCATTAGTTCGTGATTCGGTAATTTCGCATTTTGTCAGGTGTATCTCCCTCCTTAACAGTTAAAGCTCAAGGAGGTTGATTGGCATTTTTCCAATGTTCAAATTTTGGTGTCAGAGTTGACTCAAGTTTTGTTTTACCGTCTGTGTTAACATAGATAATATGTAATAATGTAGTTGGTGATACAAAATTTGTCAGGGAATGGTGGTAGTCAGTGAGGAGTCTGATGTCAAAACCAAAACATTGGCCAAATGTGCGATGAGTTTCTTGTGCACATATAAGTGTACAGTATTTTATGGTATAAGATCAGGTGTTCTGGTGAAACGTGAGGAAAAATGATGTATACTCGTGACTAGGCGGATGCTTGGACGGATAATAGCATCTGTTATTTGGGCATTATTATTTGTTTATTACTATTGTTTCAGACTGTCACATGTAATTTATGGCGCTCATATGACCTTATGTAGTTGCGAGCGCTGTAAAACCTCTACTAAAACTAAAAAACATGTGACTTTGAAGAATGTTCTGCTTGCTTCCCTTCCCTTCATTTCATGCATTTTTCTCAGCTCAGACTGGCATATGACACAGACATTGTAACTATGGAAAGGCTATTACTCTGTCTGTCAGCAAATTTATTTTTAAAAGTTAGGCTCAGTCTTGTTTTCTTTGAGCTTTGGAATAGCTGTTGTTGAGTCAAATAGGCATCGTTTTAGTTCATTTGATTTGAAGAGAGCAACAAAGAGGTGTATCTCTGGATGCAAAATCATGTAATGCAGTCAGCGCTGCCACTGCAACGTTGTCATGTCATGAGTGGATTAACTGTCTCACACAGTTAGTTCCAATAATTCACTTGGACCAGAGTAGAGAACATTGTCCAAGTCCAATCTTTTGCCAGATAAAAGGAGAGAATTTGTACAAACTTGCAAAATCAAATCTAGAGTGTGTGACTATGACATCAGAATGGGGTGGAGTGTAATGGGCTCTCTGGTTTGGTGTGCTTTGTGTATTTCTCTCATTATGACGGCTATTGTCCTTGTCTGGTCCCGAAAAAACATACCATGATTTTCATTAGTTTTTTAAAAAATGGTATTATTTCTTCTTTTTTTTTTTATTGTTGGTGAAATGGCTTAACTCTTCACAGTTTGTCACTTGCAAAAGATCTTAGTTTGATCTTAGTTTGATTCTCTGGTGGGGAAGTTATTTTGTCAAGTGTATCTGTCTTTGTGTGCTGGGATGCTGTATCCCTCTCAGCCCTTGTCAGCCCTTGAAGTAGTGTGGTACCCCCCCCCCTCCCCATCTTGAATGGTACAAATTGGGTTGATGGGAGCTTAAAACTTCAACACACCCACCTGCGTGGTCAAAATGCTGC